AAATCTCTCCGACAAGGGCTGCAGGGCAAGCCATAATTTTAGAGAGTAAAAGAGAAGATGAAAGCTCCTAGCCGGTGTCTTCTTGAAGTTACATAGGTGGATCGTTTTCGTTTTCTGATTGTGCTTCTGCGCATAATGTCAAAGGGCTGGTGGCGAAGTCAGCTTTCCCTCTGGGTGTAGAAAGCGCCTCTGCAGAGATGGGAAGGGGACGTTCGGCTTCCAGAGTCTCTGTTTCTCCCAGAGAGTCATGGACTACAAAGTTGAGGCCCCATAAGCAAACTTTTGCATTGGCACTTTCCACTCTAGGATCATCTCCCAAAGTCATTTGTCATGTCACAGGAGCTTTTGAAATTGCCAACCGTATGGTCCTTGCAAGGAAATAAATGATAAGTGTTACTGGGTGCCTGGGTGGCTCAGTGGGTTAAAGCCTCTGCCTTTGGCTCAGGTCATGATCCTGGGGTCCTGGGATCAAGCCCCACATCGGGCTTTCTGCTCTGCGGGGAGCCTGCTTCCCCCTCTCTCTCTCTGCCTGCCTCTCTGCCTACTTGTGATCTCTGTCTGTCAAATAAATAAATAAAATCTTAAAAAAAACAAAACGATAAGTGTTACTGCAGGAACACCCCATAATTGACACCCAGACCTGCCTGTTACAAAGTCAGTCCTCCCCGTTTAAAAACACAAGGATCTGTCTTACATCAGACTGAGGCTTAGCTATCCCTGCTTAGTGTGACTTAAAGTCTTATAGCTAAAGAAGAGGAAAAAAAAAAAAAAAAAAAAAAGCAAGGCTGTGCCCAGAAGACGGAAGAGATTCATCTAATTAGTTTACCAAACGCTACTGGTTCTGGAGACTGATGAGCAAAGTGTAATGACCGGAGCAATGATTGTTCTGTTCATTGTCCCAGAGTCCTAGTTACACATAGGAAACTCAACACCAGCAAAGCGGGCAGGCAGAACTCTGGACTTGGATGAGTTAGTTATAAACGGCATTTCATATGTTGTGGGGTACAGGCAGTTCATCAGCCCTAACAATATTACTGTGTTCCTCTGAACTCCGCTCTCACAGCAAAGCATTTAGAAGGCAGACCTAGAATAAAGAGAGGCATTCACAGAGCTAACATTTTATGTCGAGTACCCTTAGCACCACTTGTAATGTGCTATAAAACGCAGGGCTTCCCTCTTCCATGAACTGTGTGCCAAAGCAGAGGCAGTGACTAGAGGTTGACTTCTTTGTGGTCTGCTTTATGGGTACTGCGCCCGTACAGCGGTGTGATCTTGAAAAAGGTAAACAACAAAGAGTTTAGCAGTGAAAAACATGCCTAATATAAATACAGTTGCGTCCGTGGCAGTTCAGAATTTGAAAAATACAACTGTGGCCTTAAATTTTCCGGTGGAATTAAACAGAGGAACAGAATATAACCTTTAAGGCAATATATCTGAGATGGAGAAAGGAAAGAATATATCTAACTGTATGGTCTGTGTGGCATTCATATAAAGAAAAGCGCAGTAGCTTTATTTAATTGAGAAAATGAATCAATTACAATGATGTTGCATCACCAAGTTCTTGTGAAATAGAAGATATAAGTCACCACGTTGTGTAACAGTGTTAAAAAGTAATTGAGTATCTTGAGCATTTTGAATCAATTTCAGGTACTAGCACTGCTACCTTAATACAAAATTTATGAAGATGATTTCATATAATATGTAGCTATCAAAGCCGTGTAATAAAACCTGGTAACAACATCTCTCTTTAAGAACCTGAGAAACACAGTATAGTTATAAGATCATAAAAAAGACTTTGGTATTGCTGTTGCTCTCTTTCTCATAGTAAAGAGAAAGCATTAAAATAGTAAAATTTTAAGTTGTCTTAAACCATGGCTTCTTTAACCCACAGAACAGGGCAAAGTGGAGACTCTGAGAGCTTAGTTCATGAGGAAGTGTTTTGCCCTGAACTCATTTCAGACAATTTATGTGTTGCTGGGAACGATGTTGTACCATTTATTCCTGAATTTATTTTGAAACATCTCACTTAGAATGTTTGCTGCATGGTTTTCCTCAGAGAATGTTGTAATCCCCCTGACTGTTGGAAATTTGTGAAAAACAGTCTCTTTGCCAAAAATGGATTTCTGATTCTTTGTTTGTTACAAGTACCTCCCCTATTGAAGTAGATCGATCTTACGAAGAATGGAGGGGTCGGGGAAGAGTACCCGTGTGTATCTGGAAAAGATAAAATCAAACACCAAAGAGATCCCCCATCGTAGGAGAGGTGACCTGGGCCTTTCAAGATTTCTGAAAGGTGATGTGGCTTGATACCAAAGTCCTTAACCACACTGGGGTGGTAGTTAACCCATCTTCCTTTTTAAAGTACATCTTTACCTTGAGAGCATTATGCAGAAAGTACTCATGGACTAGAGGAAGGAGCAGTAATTCAGCATAGCATCAAGTGGGAACTATTCAAGAAGAAGCCAAGTCAGCAGCCAAGAACCGCCAGTCATTGTGGCACAGCGGATTCAGGGAGTGGTGGCCAGGGAGAGCAGGGATGAGTAGGCCCTGTGTTCAGTTGGGATAATGCAGGGAAAAGTGCTTTTTAAAACACTCAAGCAATAGGTGAAGGGTCTGCTGATAAGCCATATGGAGGCAAAAAAAAAAAAAAAAGAAGAAGAAGAAGAAGAAAAGGAAAGGAAAGAAAAAAACGCAAAAACATAGTTTCTGCCCTTGGGAAGCTTGCAGTCTAGTTCAGAGGAACCTGCCAAAAATTGATGATTTATCAACTTTACCACACCAAGTATAAATACATACAAATCCAGTTGTTTTTAATTTTTTTTTAATTTTTTTAAGATTTTATTTATTTATTTGACAGAGAGATCACAAGTAGGCAGAGAGGCAGGCAGAGAGAGAGGGGGAAGCAGGCTCCCCGCCAAGCAGAGAGCCCGATGCTGGACTCAATCCCAGGACCCTGAGATCATAACCCGAGCCGAAGGCAGAGGCTCAACCCACTGAGCCACCCGGGTGCCCCATAAATCCAGTTGTTTTTGAATAATGCTGTGACTGTCGACAGATACTATACAGACGCTGGAAAGAAAGGAGCATAGGAGAAGCCCTGGCATCACTGTCCCTGCGGCCTTGGGCCTGCCCCCACCTCCGAGAGGCCAGTCTTCCCAGCAGAAGATAGAAGTGATCATCCCTGGGGCACCTGGGTGGCTTGTCCGGTTAAGCGACCAACTCATTTTGGCTCAGGTCCTGATCTCAGGGCGGTGAGATTGAGCCCCGTGCTTAGGGCTCCTTGCTCAATGAGGAGTCTGCTTGAGATTGCTCTCCCCTTCCCTCTCCCTCCCCTCTGCTCCTCTCTCTGAAATAAATAAATAAATAAATAAAATCTTAAAAAAAAAAATAGAAAGAAATGATCATCCCTGCCAACCTCACGGTGGTTGTGCACATCAAATAGACATGGAAGAACTTTTTATTTTTTTATTTTATTTCTTTTTTTTTAAAGATTTCATTTATTTAGTTGCAAGAGGGAGTGAGCACAAGAGGGAGAGGGAGAGCCAGACTCCCTGTTGAGCGAAGAGCCTGACGCAGGACTGGATACCAGGACCCCGAGATCATGACCTCAGCCGAAGCCAGACGACCAACGGGCTGAGCCAACCAGGGGCCCCATGGAATAACTTTTTAAGACACCATTAAAATTTTTTTAATTTTAAAAAATACAGTTGACTCCTGAACAACATGGGTTTGAATTGCATGGGTCTACTTATATGCAGATTTGGGGGATAAATACAGTGCATAACTATAAATGTATTTTCTCTTATGATTTTCTTAATAGTGCTCTCTTTTCTCTAGATTACTCTATTATAAGAATACAGCATGTACTACATATACCATGTAAAATATGTGTTACTCCATCGTTTATGGTATCGGTAACACTTGTGGTCAATGGGAGGCTATTAGTCTCTGGGGAGTCAAAAGTTATATATGGATTTTGAACTGCACAGGTGTTGGCATCCCTAACCTGCAAAATTCATTGATCAACTGTCCAATTACCACATTCCCTATATTTTACTAGCTGGTTGGGGCTGTTATCTCAGCAAACAACTGACCTGTCAATACCATACTTGGTTTCTGAAATTTTCCTTTTTAGGAAATTTAGTACCTGGGACTCCATTTTCATGGGTTTGTGGTATCTGCAGTCATTTGTGGCAGGGGTGGGGAGTGGGGGGCTTGAAGTGTTTAGTACTTCAGTTACTAACTGGATGTGTTATTAATTTGGTGTCACGTTTTAGTAACTTCCTAAGAGATATGGCTTATCCAAGTTCGATGTGTGAGCAGCCCGCCTTCACAATGTTCATTAGGAGGAGGCATTCACTTGTCTCTGCTTTTTATTCCCTGAGAAACAGTGTAAAACTTGCATGAATTTGATTTTCCCAGAGAGCATTGCTTCCCAGGAAACGGGCTAAAGGAACTTTGGAAAAGGTGGAATCTTCACCCCACTCTGGAGTTAAAGACAAATACTTCAACCACATAATTAAAGTTTTCTTCACAAAATAGGGGATTGTGAGCCGACACTGGCAGGAATCCAAAATTCTAATTTCTGACTATGATTTAATTTCAATTTTAAATAAATCGGTTTTTAATTTAAAAAGAGTGAGCTTCATAACATTAGCAATGATTGCAACATTAAGCCCAGTGTTCACAATCTAGCAATATAAAACATTATTTATATCTGAATCGTAAACAGCCTTTTGAAATGGATTATGGTTTTTCTCCCTATTCTAATACAACCTGGAGGGTACTAAAAAGTGTTGTGTGAAATTAACATTCTGCTGACTTTCGCCTATAAATGAGAAGCGAGCTATTAACATTTGTGTATTTTCATTATGTAAATTGTGTTAACACATGCCCACAAATTGCCACCAGCAATGCAATAATTTTCTCTCAGTGATCATAATGTGTCCAAGTGAGTCATTTTGATTATGACATGCTAATTACATATTGCCTTTTTTCAGATTCAGAAAAACCAGGGATCTTTAATGGTAAGCTTTATGAGTTCAGAAAAAAATTCACTTTTCTTTTTCCTGATGGCTGCTTCCTTTGCATGCTTGAATGCCTTGTTTTAAACTTAGCAAATTGCATTTTGAAGGAAATGCAAACCTTTAACTGCCTGTATTAGATTAGGTACCATTAGAAATAATAGAACATCCTGAGCATCAATGTTTTTATAAGAGTTTGCTGTTGTTGATTAATCTTGCTATATTTTATTGCATTAATGATTTTTTCTTTCCACTCCACTGTAAAGATATTGCATCGAGGCTAATACTTTTTCCTTTCTTCTTTCCCGTTGCAGCCTCTTCAGCTTCTGCAGTGCATTGTTGATGAGGTGAGGCATCGTCTTATGTGCTTTCACTCCTAAAGTCATTCCTAATGGTGTGGAAAGCTTATATTTTGTTTCCTAATGAAGCACAGTGCCCGACATCCTCGGAGCAAGTTGTGTTGTATGGCTCTGAGCTGTGTTACGTGGACTGGCCTTGTCCTGAATCCCACTCTTCGGATTCTGGCCCAGAGTCCCTGCCCAAACAGACTGTCCCACGGGCTGGTCCTCGGGGGTATTGGAAGCCCTAAAGACAAAACAGGATAATATTAATTCATCGTCTCCCTAGCCAGATGGGGATGGAGCCGGAAATTAAAGTGGTATCTTTTTTTTTTTTTTCCAGAGCAGATATTTAAAGTCATTCCAGTAGTCAAGGGTGAGAGTTGAACAGCAGACATAAACTGGATAAAATTTGTCTTCCTTGCTTTATTTACCCAAAGCATAGCAGGGTGATAAAAATGTTCCAAAGCTCTAGGTCAACAGTTCAGCTTTTATTTCCTAATTAGTCGTTTTCCCCTAGAACACATTCCTAAATTCTTGTGCTTTTATCGGGAATCCTCACATTTTAAGTTACCCTACCTCTGATAATCCCGTCCATTGAGCTCCGTGGTCCCTTTGCCTTCTTGGAATTAATCTCCCTGCGTCTCTTTCTCAGTCTACTCTTTCGACTCCTTATTCTGAATTTAAAGTCTGTTTTTCTGTACATTAGCAGAACACAAGGCTTCCAGTGTATGAAGCTCTCAGTGAAAAACCATTAATGTTTTTTTAAAAACACTTTTTCTGGGCTTGGGCTTGCCTACCAGCAATGTTTATTTTTTAAACTTTAACTTTACAATATTTAAAACACTTGTAATGAAGGCGATAAATGATTCAGATAGGAAAGTTTGAAAGAAAAAAACAAATCGTAATTCATAATTATTCCTCTCAATTAAACATCTGTATAACCAGTTATGAGATTTGGGAGAAAAAATAAAGATCCTCCTAGGAAAAAAACAAGCGCGCACAAATATCACAATAATAGTAAGAATGGGGCTCTAACATCCTTAATGGTTGCATCCGTCAGTCCATATATCCCCTGCAAGCCATAAACCATGTTAGTACAAAAATGAAGGCATCGTCCTGAAACAAATGGAGGTCCCATTATCTCAAATATCAGACAGGCCCCCTGGATCTAATAGCTCATCAATATCTTCTGTCATCTTAGATTCCAAAAGCATCCCATCCCCATCAGAACCCTCCCAATTAAACTGATTTTCCTGAGGTCCTCCTTCAGGGTTGCTTAGGGCCAGGCCCAGGGAAACTGGGCCTACCCGGTCAAATGCACAGCCTGCCGAGTTTTCTGGATTCTCCTATTCCTGTTCTGCCAGGCTCCTAAGTTATCAGAGCTTTCAAGTATAGATACTCCTCACCAGCAATACACGTATTACTGGGGAGCTAATCTCAAGTTCTTCTGAATCAAATAAATATTTTCATTCCTTATTTAAAGCAGCAGTGATTACTGTTAAATTGAAAATCTTTTACTTGCTTGATTTGGGCAATATCCTGAGACTTTTGAAATTATCCCAAGGAGATGTTCTAAGGCGGGGAGGTGTGTGGGAAGGACAAGAGTGTGTAACTTCAACAGTATGTTTTTCTTTATAGCATTTCTTCCTCGGTTGAGAGAAAAATATCACTTAGACACCACTTCCCACGTATCCAAAAGACATATTAAAATACCTTCTTTATCGAAACTTGGGAAATGCACATTGCATTTACTAAAACAAACATAAATTGATCTTGGAACTGAACTGCTCTTCAGTGATGAGTATTAGGAAACAATTGACCAGATGACTTGCCTTCTGTAAAGGGCATAAGGGCTTCTAAGAAAGAAAGGATGGGGAGGGGGATGTTAATTACTGTGCTTGTCTGTCCCATATTTGTCAGGCTTCTCCTTGCTGTGGTACAGTGTTTTGCAAAGGGTGGTCTCAGGACTAATTGCATCAGATTCTTGGACCCAGATCACTGAATTAGACTTTCTAGGGATGGAGGCCAGGAATCTACATTTTACCAGCTTCCCAGGTAACTCTCTGCACATTCAGGTTTGAGAACCACTTCTGTAATGTCTTCCAGGGATAATCTGCCCTTTTAGATCCCAGAGGGCTATGAGTCATCTATCTTCATTTGTACCTGATTGTAGGGCTTCTTTTCCTGCGTGAATATAACCAGCTAGGATTTGAGCCATGTTACTCCTTGGATGTGGAATATGTCCCATCTTGAAATGTGTGTCCTGTGATAGTGTGTACTGTTTCTGTTAGAGAAAAGTCAGATAAAAAAGTACCACCCCAAAGGGAGCCTAGTTCAAACAAGATGGCTATATTCAGAGTCATGTACAAAATAGCTAAGTAAAACCCAGGGTGACATACTTCATTATTATGTGGATGCAGCTTGACCTCTTGCATGGCCTGGTAAACAGTGAGGAAGTAATAAAACAAGGCCAGGTGGGCTAGAGGTGAAGGGCGGGAGTCAGGGCGGGAGTCAGGAAGTAGACTCATGAAACAAAGCCAGAGCTAGCTACCAGATGTCCAATCAGGAGACACCAGAAGTTAAACACGAGTAAGAATCAGTAACATGAAATTTGGACTGCAGATCAGGAACTGGAAGGATAGTCAAGGTAATAAGAGAATCAAGCTCCAATCAGAAATCCGGGCAATCCAGTTCAGTTTCCATAGGCAGAGTTCATCTGGCTTGGAGCTGGCTAGTGCAGGATATGGGTGATCTCTTAATGGTACTGTCAATGCCTCAGACTTGCTTCTCTCAAAAGAACTTCTTATTTTAAAATTGCTATACACTCTGGCCCTCTCTAGGCCCTGAGTACCTGTGATTTGAAGTCCTTGATTAGTTGTTAAGAGGCAAGTGTCTATGTATGGCATGATGCTGTAGCCTTCTGATATCTTTGGGGAATAAGATGGCCCCTGTGATCTAAATTTACTACTTGAAACTCTGACATCAGTGAGGTTTTCATTTTAGGAAAGAAGTGTTTCCAAAACATCTCACTCTTGGCAGCCTGTTGACAGTGTGCAATGAATATCATGTGATGACTCGGGTCCTTGTTAGTGACTGTGAACTACACTTTGATGTGAACTAAACTTGGTAGTGAGCTAACATGGTAGTGAACTAAACTTTGATGTATCGATAACCTCTAGGACTATGAAACCGTGTGGGGCTTACCTGAATTTTACCAACCCTTTGCCTGTGTTTGACCTTGGCACTCAGAGATATGCTTGAGTCTCTTGACATGTATAAAGTCATTTGTTCCCAGGCTAACTACCTTACATGGCTCTGCTTGGTGCTTTCCTGGGTTCTCTCTTATGATTGTCTGGTTTCTTTGGTCACTCTTTGTCTTTGCCAGTGACTGCCTGCTGCCCCAGTGATCTAATCGTCTGTCTTCAGTCTTTGCTTTCCTGACAGGGACCCTAATAAAGCTAGCAGGTACCAAATGAAATCAGAAACCCAAATGGGATGTGTAAAGTCAAAGCTCATCTGAGAAGACAGAGACTTGCCTCGCTTTAATGAAGTAAAATCGGTGGGCTTGTGTGCATTCATTTGGCAGATGGTTACCAAAAGTTCCCACTATTTGATAGCCCAAGTTGAGCAGACCATGGTGAGGACAGCCTCCAAGCCTTGAGAGAAACTGAGCTTCTAGGCAAGGTACCCAGGCCAACTGCAGACTAGGTGTGTAAGTGAAAGTAGAAAGGCAGAAGCGCTGTCCCACATCCTGAGCCAGTACCGTGTGCTGGGACTCAGGAAGCTGCAATGCCATTTAACAGTCTCTCCCATGCATAGGGTTCTGGCTTGGCTGGCGACAAAGGATTGGCCACGTTGGTGTGGCAGGTAGGGATACAGCAATGATTTCTGGGTCACCAAATCCCAGGCTGGCTGGGGTCAACTAGTAGAGGCCATCCGTGGATTAAGGTGCTAGGAGTTGCAATGATGGAAATGAGGACCTCACCCTTGAGCCTGCCTCTAAGTCATTCACAGCCTTGGAAAAGATACGGACGCAGAAATGAATAGTATGGTTCAGAGTAGAGTGTATCTGTAGAACCCAGGGACTGGGCTGATTAGGAGAGGCCCCTCAGGATAGGTGGCTTTTTTTTTTTTAAAGATTTTATTTTTATTTATTTATTTGACAGAGAGAGATCACAAGTAGGCAGAGAGGCAGGCAGAGAGAGAAGAGGAAGCAGGCTCCCCGCCGAGCAGAGAGCCCGATGCGGGGCTCGATCCCAGGACTCTGGGACCACGACCTGAGCCGAA